TTCTCCTCTCGAGTGTAGTCCCTGTAAAATTCTCACCATCAATTTACCCGTGAACTATCACCATAGTCCCTTGTGTTCTTCCCTTCCCTGTTTTGATCCCTCTCCATCCCTTTCCCCTGCAGAATATCTCTGTTTAATAGTTGTCTGTTAATTTTGTGTTTTAATTTAGTACAATTTTTTTTATGATCCCTTATTTGGTTCCCCTACATTCCTCCTATAAGTGAAACCATCCAATATTTTTCTTTTTCTTTCTTGCTTATTTCACTGAGCATAATCCCTTCTAACTCCATCTATGTTGCTGTGCATGGCATGAGTTTATCTTTTTTGATTGCTGAATAGTATTCCATTCTGTATATATACCACATTTTCTTGATCCAGTGATTTATTTTTGGGCATTTGTATTGTTTCCATGTCTTACCTATTGTAAATACTGTTGTGATAAATATAGGCGTGCAGGTATCCTTTTGAATTAATGTTTTTGTTTCCTTTGAGTAGATTCCTAGGAGTGGAATTGCTGGGTCATATGGAAGCTCCATTTTTAGTTGTTTGAGGAACCTCCATGGGGAGATACTATTTTAATCCATTCCAGTTATGTTCATTTTGTGAAAATGAAACTCTACATTGCAATTTTTTTTAAAATTTTATTTATTTATTTATACAAGAACCAGGGTACAGTCAGAAGCATGGAAGGGTGAGAGAATTCACCAGAGCCAGGGTGGGGAACAGAACAGGCAGACTGATGAAATACACTGCCGAGGGGAGCAGCGGGCACTGCAGAAGAGGTCTGTCCTGCGATGTGGGACCCTCGCCCGCTGCCGGGGATTGAACCAGCGCTGCAGAGGCTGCGGGCAGCTTCGCAGCCCAGCGCTCAACCACTGCGCCACCAGGGGAGGCCCTACACTGCAATTCTTGTGTGGACAAATTTTCTTATCACTGGATTAAATAGAGTGGAATAACTGAATCATCTAGTAGTTTTATGTTTGACATTTTAGAGTTTATAAACTTTTCTAAAGTGATTGTGCTATTTTACATTCTCAGTAGCAGTGTATGTGAGTACCAGTTCTCACACATCCTTGTAACATTTGGATTAACTGTTTTGTAATTTGACATTTCATTTAGATATGATACATCATTTCTCTATTGACTTATGGTATTGAGCATTTTTTCATTTCCTAATTTGCCATCTACATATGTGTTTAGTTGAAGTTTCCATTGAAATATTTGATGAATATGTATACATAAAGTGAAAAAATGATTAGTCAAAAACTTGTGAAAAAAAAATCCCTCCATATTTATGGAGCAAATGAATAAGAGACACTACTCAGTATTATGTAGAACACTTATGACTAATAAACAGACATATGTATCTTTATTTGATGAAGAAACAAAGCTAACATAGTAAGGTATTTCAGGTCATTCATTTGGCAAAAACAGGAAATGTGATATTATAAATTCCTGGAAAGGCTGAGTAGAATTGTATTGCTTATATATTATAGGTAGGATGAAAATTTTTATTATGATTTTCATAATTTTTTCCTTATTTATTAAAACAAGGGGGAGTGGAATTGCATGGGGACTATAACCAAGATGAAAATGCATACATTGTGCAAAAATGAAAAATGATGTAAAAATATATTAAATTAAATTAAATAAAAAATTGACTATTATGTAATAATATTTCCCAATAGAAATTTTGATGATGAGGGGGATATTTTCATCTTTACTTTACTATATGGTAGTCCATAGCCAAATCCAGGTTTTGAACACTTGATGTATACCTAATGGGTGTAAATAACTGAATTAAAAATATATTTAATTTTAATAAATTGACATGTATTTGTCACACATACTCCTCAGTATCATTCATCATGTTTCTTTTTTTGATTTTAGGAGTGAGGTGAATAGATGTATGTGTTATAGTAATCTAAAGTTTAATAACTTGTTGCTATTTTAAAATCTGTTATTTACTATTAAAGTCATATATCAAGTAATTTTCCTGCATATCAAGTAATTTTGTTTGTGAGTTTTGGAATTCTCTTTCACTAGCCATCTTTTTTTTGTCATTTTTTTCGTTGGAAATTCTTTTGAGGAAACACATTCTAAGTGGGGAAGATAATCCTGCTTGATGATTTTATGTCACCTCTTCAGGACTGAAACCAGTTTTTTACAATTAGTGTCTGGCCAAGGATTTCTGTTCTTACTGGACCCCTGTTATTGATTGGGAAGGAATAAATCTTCAGACCTCTGAAGATTTACTTGGTTCTCACACTGCCCAGTGTGAGTAACACATTTCTGTAGCACATGCTCTAGTTTCTGCAAGAACTGCCACAAATATAGGAATGAGTTTGTCAGCCTGACACAAGAAAGAGAGCAGGGAATATTGATAAATTCTCACTCCCAATACTAGGCAAATAGATTGCATATTGCCTAACTAGAACAAAAGGTAACTCTCCTGCCCTCTCTCTTTAGCTTAAGAAGCACTCCCCCCCACCCCTGCCCCAATTCAAACAGCAGGGAATAGCATTCTACCATTGGAGTTCAGTGAAAAGCAAGAGATTGATGATCTCTGTAGGTATATAGGGATTGTGAAAGCTATGGCTGGATTACAGGTGCGGATCACTGGGAGACCAGCTACAAAATAAAATGAAGAAATCTTTATTGGAAATTTTTGTTCTCTGTTGTACTGAAGTATGTAAACAAAATGAAAGAAAATTAAACTAAAATCAATTCAACTTCTGCCTAGAGTACTCGATCACTGACACTAATTACCCGAGATTAAGTGTTTGGGCCTCCCTGGTGGCACAGGTGTTAATGACAGCACTATCAAGCCATCAGCAGCCTCTGCAGCAGGAGTTTGATCACCGGCCAGCCAGGGAGCAGCCTACATGGTACAGCAGACCTCTCCTGCCTCTCCTGCTGCTCCCCTCAGCAGTGTATTTCAGTAGACCGTCCTGTTCTGCTACCAACTCTCTCTGGTGAATCCTCTCAGCCTCCCCCTATCCTTCTCACATCTGGCTTATACCCCAGTTCTTGTATGCATAAATAAATAAATCTTTAAAAAAAAAGTGTTTGTTATTAGGTATAATAACAAACAAAATAAATACTATTTATTCTTTCTTTGCAAAAAATGACAGTCATTTAATAAAATATGAGAAGTAATAGAATCAAGAAAAGAACCTTAAAGCAACGTGAAGAAACAAAGCTGTCCACAGAACATACTCTGGATGTTGGAACTCTTAGAAATAGTTTAGATTCTGCAACTACAATGTTAAAGAAACTGGTTTAAAGGAAGACAATACTTATGAGAAGAGAAAGCTATAAGAAATAATTGACTGAAAATGCTTGAAAGAAAACCGTGGTATCAGGGATACCAGAGAAGATAGTCTTCTGTGAACTCATTAGTAAACTTAGAAAAACTGAAGAAAATAATCAGTAAACATGAGGAGAGTTCAAATAAGTAATTGAAATATAAGGATCAAGAGGAAAATAAAGAAACAGTATTCAAAAACTTTCACATGGTATCAAAATGTCCAACAGAAGTAGAATTGGAATCACGGCAAGAAAAAATGAGGAAGTAGATAGAAGTTGTGTCTGAAGACACAAAGGCTAAGTACTTCCAAAAGGGCCATCAAGGAAAAGACTTCACAGATCACAGAGAACTGAAGCATTGTAAATACCAAAGTTACAATTAAAATTATATTCAAACCAATAAGATTAAAGGAAAGGAGAGTACATTGAAGGCATCCATGCAAGTGGAAAGCCCCATTATATATAGATGAAAATAAGGTATCTAGCATATTTTTCTCAATGCGGTAGAAGATAATTAAATGAAACATTTAAAGTACCATAAAAACAACTTAGATCAAGAATTGTGTACATAAAGAATATGAAGGGAAAAATATAAAGGAAACCCAGAATATATTGCCTACAAATCTAAAATACAAGAAATATTAAAGAATTTTTTTTTTTGTAGACAGGAGGAAAATAGCAGCAAAGAGAAATTTAAACCTATACAGTGAAATGAGGATTTTCCAGAAGTCATAAAGTGTTGTGATATTTAAAGCTTTCTCCATCAAGTCAGGAATAAGATAAGATGTTAGCTTTCACCACTCTTTTTTCAAAATTCTACTGAAAATACTAAAGAAAGAAGATAGGAAAAAGATTTAAAGTGTTTACAGTTTAAAAAGGAATAATACGTTTTTCTATTGTAGAGATGTACTATTTGCATTGAAAATGCCAAGTAACTGGAAATAAAGGGAAAAAAATGCCCTTAGGAGTTAGCAAGTTCATCAAGCACATAGAATACAATAGTAACAAAAAAAGTAGAGAAAATGTTATAACAAGCACTAGAAATACATTTTATTTGGGTTTAAGATGTGTGGGTATCTTATGGAGAAAAAAATAGCTTTGGGGAAAATTTCTCCATAATAATCCAATTAAGTGTATTCTCTATGCATAGTAGAAAATTAAAATTCTCAAAAAAAAAGACATGATATACCCATTCTCTGAGAATAATATTTTATATTTTACTTGCTATAGATATTGGGATAAGATATTCAAAGATATAATGTTTGCTAGATTTTCTAGAACCTTTAATTATGATAAATCTGAAAATTTATTGAAAATAACCCAAGAACTAAAATTGCAAATAATTGCTTTTTGTTGATGTTGTGTCCCAAGTTGCAGGGTTATATGTGCATCAGCTGTTCTGTTCATGTTGAACAATGATAGATGTGTGTGCAACTTTTTGTAAGAGCAAAAGCTATAAATCATGCTAAATTTTAGACCCAAGTTCTAATTTTTGGAACTAGTTCTGAACATATAAACTGTTGTTAAATACTAAGTAGTAGATTCTGATTCTAAAGCCTAGTTTATCTAGCAGGCTTCATTTGCTGGGAAGTTATTTTCCATCTGCTGATGAGGTCAAGATTTCTTTTTTTTTCCATATATAATTTTATATTTCTATATATTTTTATATCATTATTCATGTTTGTGCAGTTGAAGTCAGTGACTTTACTCACTGTATCTTCCAATGAAGACTGAAGGGGAAGGAACCTCAAACTATGGAAACATGCTTTTGAAAAGTCTTCACACAGGGTCACTAATACAGAGGTGGATTTCAATTGCATTACTACACATGTCTAAGAAGATTATTAAAGCATCTATCACTGGGGGCCTTTCGGTGGACAGATGAATATGGTGGGTATGAAAGAAAGAAAACCTGCTTTTGTCCCTGTGATACCTACTTATAGGATTAAATAGAGTTAGAGCTGCTCATTGAATTAAATGAAACAGTTTTTTTCAGACATGCTTTCACAGTTTTGGTTTTGACTAGTAAAACTGATGATTTTTAACTTTGATTCTTTTAAATGACTACATTCAATCCATTCAATATTTTTAAACCTATCCGTGTTTCTGCCTTATTTTTTCTTAATTAAATGGAAGGTATTACTTAGGCAATTTGAAGAAAGAAAAGAAATATGTAGAATTATGCTGTTATTCAAATCAGTCAACTCAATATTTTATGTATTTCTATTTACTATTAATCTGTTAATCAATCTGGATAGCCTTAAGGTGCTTGTAAAAATACAGAAAAAAAATAATGTTTGTGTATATTTGACATTTCTCTTACTTTGCAATATGCTTATTTATATATAATAGTTAACTGTTTACTTTCATTCTATAAAAAGAAACTATCTTATTCCAGGTAGAATATGAATATTTTCCTTTTACATTATTCTTATAATTTTGAAAATTATGTTGTTAATTTTGTAATCTCATGAAATTCTGAGATGGCCATATTTTTTTCAAGCTTTATGGTAACTGCTAGATTTCAGGTATAAATTGATTTCTTGTCCATAAAATTTATCATTTTAATTCTCTAAAGAACTAAAGATTTTACTCACACAGTGTGGAATAAATAAGATACAGTCAGCAGTGGAAACTTTCTGTGAGGGAATGTTGAATGTGGTATGGTCATTGGCTCTCTTTCTTCTGACACAGTCTCTGAGGCCAGTCACACATCAAGGGCCTCCTCACCTCAGAGCAGAGGAGCAAGGCCAGCAGAGGCAGCACATCCTCGCTGTGTTCCTGCCCAAGCCCGTTCTCCAGCTAGTGAAACCCCAAGGCAAACACACAGGTATGATCAGCCAGTGTGGGTGTGTGACTCCAGCCCTGCTGTCAGGCTGCAGGGCAGGGAGGGATCCAGTAAGGGTTTTGGATTATTGCTGCGAAGGACTGACCTTGGGATCCATGTCAATTAATATCTAATGTGGTCTTTATTCTATAGGTGATGACAGTATGGATCAAAATGAGTTAAAATATTTAATACAATATGATTATTTTAATCCTCTGACATGCTGGGAAATATTTCTCTTTTCTTACAAGCATGTATCTTTTATAAATATTTGTCTTTTCTTTCCTCTGTTGTTGCTCCCTAACTGGTTAGCTATGAATGCTCCAAAGTTTAAATCCTAAGGTTAAGTGTAATAGGAAAAAATTGAATATTTGATGACTTATTTTTGTCAAATAAACCAGTTTTATATTTTTTTTTTGTTATATAGATACTCATTTACAAATTTCTACACAACAACCATTCATCTAGGAAAACAGGTCTTTAAAGCTAGATTTACCTCATCATTTGTCATTGTGGTAGGAGAATATTTACTGAAAGATAAATGTGTATGTATTTATACATTATATATTTATACATTTTGTCATTGTTTAATGATTGTTCAACTTTCCTTAAATTACAAAGTAATTAAACAGTGATGGATTACTTCATCATGAATGTTACCAATTATTCCTTATAAAAAAATCACCAAATTTCTTGCTGTAATTTTTGCCTACAGTCTTCAAAATGAGTAAAGAGGTGATATATGTGAATAGAGATTTTGCCTATTCAGAGAAACAGGATGAAAGACATGCAACTCACAAAAGGAGAGGTAAAGTTTGTATTTTACCCCAGATTTATGAAAACATCATAATGTAGAAAATCATGATAAACATGTCTATACTTATTTGATAATATTTGGCTGGTTCTTTATAAATTGGAGGGTGTATTCAAATGTATATTTGTGATCATAGGAAATGATCATATTAGTCTTAAATTGCAGAATAAATTTCCATTATGCTTTATTTCTGTGAGTTTTACTATGCTCAGTACTTAGTATATATTTTGCTTTGATTTTTTTACAGAATTTCCATGGCATAGCATTGCAGTAAGTTTGGGGATTTTATGTCTTTTACTCCTGTTGGCAACCTCAGGCTTAGGGATTATGTGTGAGTATCAGGAACATACATTTCTTTTTTTCAATTAATTTTTAAAAATTTTTTACATCATTTTTCATTGTTAATCAATATTTGTATCCCCCACCCCCTCAGGTATTAGGTATAGTCCCCATAGAGTTTCCTTCACCAATGCACTCATGCACCATCACCTCAGTCCACTGTGCTCCTCCCTCCCTCCTTCTGATTCCTCTCCCTCCTCCTCCCCTGCAGCATGTCTCGGATTTATAATTGTCTGTTTTTGCTTTGTTGTGTTTTGTACTGTTGTTATTTTTTCACACTGATGTCTTATTGGGTTCCCTATATTCCTGCTATAAGTGAAACCACCCAATAGTTTTGTTTTTTCTTCTGGCTTATTTCACTGAGCATAATTCCTTCTAGCTCCATCCATGTTGCTGCTAATGGCATGAGTTTATCTTTTTTGTTTGCTGAATAATATTCCATTGTATGTATATGCCACATCTTCTTGATCCAGTGATCTATTTTGGGCATTTGGGTTGTTTCCAGTTTTTACCTATTGTAAATAGTGCTTTTGAATCAATGTCTTTGTGTCCTTTGAGTAGATCCCTAGTAGTGGAATTGCTGGGTCGTATGGTAGCTCCATTTTTAGTAGACTAAGGAACCTTCAGACAGCTTTCCATAGTGGTTGGACCAGTTTGCATTCCCACAAGCAATGTAGGAGAGTTCCTTTTTCACCACATCCTCGCCAACATTTGTTGTTGCTTGTTTTTTTGATATGTGCCATTCTTACTGGTGTAAGGTATTATCTCAATGTGGTTTTAATTTACATTTCCCTGATGATAAGGGATGCTGAACATTTTTTCATATGCTTGTTGGCCATTTGCATTCTTCTTTGGAGATATGTCTTTTAAGTTCTTCTGCCCATTTCTTGACTGGATTGTTTATTTTGTTTTTGTTGAGCTGTGTGATTTCTTTGTATATCTTTGTGATCTGTCCCTTATCAATTGACTGGGGTGCAAAGATTTTTTTCCCAATCAGTGGGGTGTGTCTCTGTTTTGGTTAATGTCTCTTTTGCTGTGTAGAAACTTTTCAGTTTGATGTAATCCCAGCTGTTTATCTTTACCTTGACTTTCTTTGCTTTGGGTGATGAGTCTTTAAAGATGTTATTGCAATGTATGTTTTGTAGTGTTTTACCTCTATTTTCTTCTATGTATTTTATGGTTTCAGGTCTTAAGTCCAGTTCTTTTATCCATTTTGAGTTGATTTTTTGTACATGGTGAAAGGTAGTGGTCTATTTTCAATTGTTTGCATGTGGCGGTCCAGTAAGGAACATACATTTCTTATAAGAACAATTAGCCAGGATGAAAAATGAGATACTATAACTCCCGATCCTCTGCTGAAACTTTGTAAACTACAAATTTCTGTAGAAATGTTAGTAGTCATAGGATATGGATGGTAATGTTGACAATGATGATAATGTTGTTAATATGCTGTTTTCTTTGGGGGGGGCACATAAAATGATGTAACAGCTCTAAAGTATAAAAATTTTGCTAATATGTGCAGTATGGTTTACATGTATATTTGAACTTTATTTTGTCTAGGGTGAGTTTTCTCATCTGATAGTAAAATTGGGAGAATAATTGAATATTATATTTTCATCATAATACTGCAATCATGCTTAGATAACAAAGGAAAATGAACTGGATTTATTTTTTTTTTATTTTTTTTTTATAATGTTTTTTAAATTTTATTAAAAATACCAACTCTCAAATAAACTTTTATATTGGAAAACACTAATACATTAAAATAAATAACTAAAATGGCAATTACATTGTATCATATTCTATTCTATATGCAATATATTTTGACTTTCCAAAGCATAAAATATTGATTGAGGAAAACTATCTAAATATATTGATTGAGGAAAACTATCTAAAACTATCTAAATAAGTCTAAGATTTCAGAGGCACATATCTCTCATTTTTTTTTTTTAATTTTTTATTTATTTTTTTTAAATATTAAATTTTATTTTTATATTCCCCCATACAATTGCAAACGCCCCATTCTAATGGATTTATTTTCTATGTGATTAACTGTTATCCCTCAGTTTTAATATATTTTCTACAAGTTAAAAACATTTTACATACAACCCTGGCTTTTTATCTCTTTTTTCTGATGATTATTAATTCTTTCATTCATTCATTTACCGAATAATTTTGAGTTTCTTCTATGAGCCAGTCACTATATATGGCACCAACCCAAAAATAAAAAAGTCAGCTCTCAATGATGTCAGTGTAAAGGGAAAGTTTTCCTTTTAATGATGTAGTTTTTAAAATAAAATATTGTTAGTGCTAGCATACTGGCATGAAGTCAGAAGAGCAAAACATCTTTAGTCCAAGAAAGCATCCCTGTAGAAGACATATTGATGTGATATAAAGGCCAAGGAGGAATTAGTCAGGAGTCTCATGTTAGAGAAGGCTCAGGTAGAGAATATGACAAAATGACAGTTTTTAATATTAGAAGAAAAACAATTTTTGGTCAAATGGAAGCAGTAGATAGAAATAGGTTTGGGTAGGTATGCAACTTCATAAAAATCTTTTAAACTATGTTAGGAGATACTAGATTTGCCCTAAACATGAAGGAAACTGTTGGAAGATTTACACGAGCGAACACAAGATGGGTCACATGAGGAGATATGGATTTTAGAAAAGTTGGTCTCATAGTCTGGAAAGTGGTGGGGGATAAGATAGGGAATTATTTAGGGAGTTAGGGTGCCTGATGATGACTATTTGAGTTAATATCATGGAAAAAACAGTGTAGGGGAGAAAACATGCAAAATATTTAAGATGCACGATTGTTAGGTATGCTTTGGATTTAAAGTGTGAAGAGAATAGTCAGTAATGCAATGTGGTATCAAATTTATACAATTGAGTGAATATGTTCCATTATATGTTACTGAAATCACAAAGCTTTAGACTATGGTTTCCTTGTTTTTTTTTGTGTTTTGTATGTGTGTAAGAATAGTGAAGATTAAGATGCTTGTTGTCTATCAGTGGAAATGACCAGAGAGTTTAAGATAGGTCTGCATCTCCAGAGTTAGCTTTGAAAGCACACATAGACTTTCAGCATGTATATGACTTTATTAAATGTCTGTGCATCAAAAGAGGTCTAGATGAGAGAGATGAGTGAACAAATATCATCTTTTTATTAGTCATGTAGGACAGAAACCAAAACTCTGTGGCATCAGTGAGATTATTGAGAGACAGTCTAGGGTTCCAAAGAGTACAGGCAGATGAAATGATACAGTAGTCTAAAGTTGGCAGAATAAAGAGTTTTTTTGAAGATGTGCTATTTTTCCAAGATTTTGAACTCCTTTTTTGTACTTTGAAAGTAACCCCCTGGGATTATGCTCAGTGAAATAAACAGAAGAAAAGAGAAAAATATCAGATGGTTTCACTTATAGGGGGAACGTAGGGAGCCATTCAAGGAGTCAGGGAAAAAAAACAATAGCTGACTAATTACAAATCAGAGACATTCAGCAGGAGAGAGGTAGGAAGAGGCATCAAAACAGGGGAGAGAAGAGCACAAGAGACTATGATGGTGGTTCACAGGTATCTTTCTGGTGGTAATTTTATGGGGATTATACCTGAGAGGAGAATGAAAAAAAAAAAAAATAGCCTGCTGGGTCTTCTTGGTGGCCTACAGGTTAAGTCTCAGCACAATCATCACTAAACCTGAGTTGATCCCCGCAGAGAGCTAACCCATATGGCTCTCCTGTCTCTCCTGCTGCTCCTTAGCAGCGTATTTCAGTAAATCTGCCTCTTCTGCCCCCACTCTGTCTCTGGTGAATCCTCTCACCCACTGCATCTCTGGCCTACACCCCAGTTCTTCTATGCAAAAATTAAAAAAAAAAAAATAGCCCCTGAGTTCTTTCTCCATTTATATTCCCTGAATCCATGATAAGCATACACAACATAGAGTCAAATTCCTTTGTGAAGCTCTTAATGCAAATAATAATACTGTTTCACAACCTTAGTAATATGAGTTGATGAGTAGATGGCTTAGAAACCAGTTAATTGTTTTTTTTTCCAGTTTATAGTTTCTGTTTGATATATGTTGATTACTGTTTTACATACTTAAGAAATGTGAAGTAAGTTGTTTTATTTAAAAATTCTTTATTTTGTTCTGACACTCATTAGTTTATTTTGCCAACATCATTTCTTAGCTATTTAGAAGTATAGCAAATGATCATTATGAAGTGATCTGTTAAAAGCCATTCATAATCTATGGTTTACCATATGAATTGAAGTTTTTCAGTGCTCTTCTAAGTGCAAAATACAAGATAAGAAACACAGAAATGAAAAAAATGCTTCCTCGCCAGCAGTCGAAGATGACTTAGTCTTATCACCTAGTATAGGTATGTACTGAATACTTAAGCTGACAGTCTGCTGACTTTTCTTTTAGGACTCAAACCCTTCTGTCCCATTTCAATATGTCAGGACTTTTAAAATATTCTTTCTCTGAAATTTATTTTCTTTATGACAGCTACTTGAAAGTTTGACTTTCTCAAAGTAAGAAGCCTCTAATGTATTATCAAATTAACTTGGTTATTTGGGTATTTTGTACTCATAGACATATGATACCAAGTAAGATCATTGGACCAGCACCATTCCCATATATTCACTTTGATGGATTTTTCCCTTGAGGGAGAAGCGCTCCATATCACTGCAGTTTATTTGTACTTGAGAAGTCAAGATTTCTCAGTGCTCTCTTAGTAGTAACCTTGGGTCTGTCAGAGACAGTCTCAGGCTCCACAGTATTCTAACCTCCAGAATTTGGAGAAGACCTATTCTTAACATATAGATTTTGGGATACAGGGAAATCATCAATTGTCATGTCATTCACTGTAAAGAAGCAATGAAATACATATTAAGCACTATTTGTAATGATTTTGGAGTTGAAGGTGATGTTGATTTTTTTTTTTTCCAAGAAAAAGGTGATACATGTTATGGAAAGTGGTCCTGTTGTGGAAAAAACTGCTACTATTTTTCCAAAGAAGTGAAAACATGGCATGAAAGTAAGAAGTCATGTGAAGGTCGTGGTTCTCATCTCATTAAGATAGATGACGAGGAGGAGCAGGTATGTGACTTTATTAAGTCTAAGTGCTTTATGAGTACTTCGTGTGTTTTGAGTTAGAATAATTGTTAAATCCTTGCTCCAAAATTATATAATTGATTGGCTTGCCACCCTGGTACATCCTAGTACAGATTTAGCTGCAAAAAGGGGACACAGGTGGAACGAGACCTGGGAGAGCTATTGTTTCAATCAAGAGAAATAGCTTTGCTGTGGGTCTCAGGGATGATTGTCAATCTTTTCATGGTATGCATTTTATCTTCACATTTCAGTGTACCGCAGCCTGGTCAGTATTTAGCCTGTTAGGGCTAAAATAAACTTTTAGTTGTGAAATTAATGTAGTATATATTCATATTGATTTATAATGATGGACAAAATGAATATATAGTAATATGTTATTTCCAATAAGAAACATTACAAACAAAAAACAGGAAAAAAAAAGGAAAAATATATCCTTACTATTATGAAAAGTCTAAAAGAGAAAGCTTCTCATTTTACTGAATTCTGTTCTTCCACCATAGATATTTGGGCAGGATCACATTTGTAAGGGAAGATGAGTCATCATTTTCATGGCCATGGAAAAAATGGATGAAAAAAATAAAGAGAATGGATTATTTTCTTTGTTTTTGTTGAGTCTTATCAGCTCTTTGTAGATTTTTGTGATCAGTCCTTTATCATTAGTGTTGTGTGCAAAAAATGTTCTCCCAGTCGGTGGGGTTTCTCTCTGTTTTGGTTATTGTCTCTTTTGCTGTGCAGAAGCTCTTTAATTTGATGTAGTCCCAGCTGTTTATTTTTGCCTTCACTATCACTGCTTTGGGTGATGTGTCTGTAAAAATGTCTTTGAAGTGCATGTCATGTAGTGTTTCACCTGTATTTTCTTCTATATATTTTATGGTTTCAGGTCTTATGTCTAGTTCTTTAATCCATTTTGAGTTAGTTTTTGTGCATGGTGTGAGGTAGTGGTCAAGCTTCATTCTTTTTCATGTAGCGACCTAGTTTTCCCAGCACCATTTAGTGAACAAACTTTCTTTGCTCCAGTGCATATTCTTTGCTCCTTTGTCAAATATTAGTTGAAAATAATCCAGTCAAAAAATGAGCAGAAGAGCTAAAAAGAAACTTCTCTGAAGAAGAAATGCAAATGACCAATAGGCATATGAAAAAATGTTCAACATCACTTGTAATCAGGGAAATGCAAATCAAAACTCAATGAGATACCATCTCACACCAGTGAGAATGGCACATATGAAAAAAAACTAGCAACAACAAATGTTGGCGAGGTTGTGGAGAAAAAGGAACTCTCCTGCCCAACTGGTGGGAGTGCAAACTGGTCCAACCACTATAGAGAGCTGTGTGGAGATTTCTGGACCTACTAAACATAGAGCTTCCATATGATCCAGCAATTCCACTCCTAGGTATTTACCCAAAGGACACAGAAAAAGTAATTCCAGAGGGCACCTGCATGCCTATGTTTATAGCAGCACTATTTACAATAGCTAAGTTATGGAAACAACCCAAATGCTCAAAAATAGATGACTGGCTCAAGAAGATGTGGTGCATATACACAATGGAATATTACTCAGCAATCAAAAAAGATAAACACATGCAATTTGCAGCAACATGGATGGTGCTGGAAGGGATCATGCTCAGCGAAATAAGCCAGAAAGAAAAAGAAAAATACCAATGGTCTCACTCATAGCAGGAATTTAGAAAACCTAAATAAGAGACCAGGAAAAAGACTAATCAATACAAAGTAAAAATCAAAATCAGGGCCTTCCTGGTGGCGCAGCGGTTGAGCGCTGGGTTGTGAAGCTGCCAGCGGCCTCTGTGGCCCGGGTTCGATCCCCAGCTGCTCCCTGGCCACCCGGAGGAGGGTCCCACATGGCGAGCAGACCTCTCCTGCCGCCCACTGCTCCCCTCAGCAGTGTACTTCGGTCCTTCTGCCTGCTCTGCTCCCCGCTCTGGCTCTGGTGAATTCTCTCACCCTCCCGCGCTTCTGACTGTGCCCAGTGCATGTATAAACAAACAAACAAACAAACAAACAAATAAAGAAAACATGCCTCTTAAAAAAAAATCAAAATCAACAAGCAATGATAAACTAGAGACACACTATAGGGGGGGCAGGGAGGGGCAGGGAAAGGAAGGACTAGAGTCAAAATAAGGGGGGAGGTACAATTGTATGGGGAATATAACCAAAATGAAAATGCATACATTGTGCAAAGATGAGAAAAGATGTAAAAATTATATAAAATAAAATATTTAAATAAAAAAATAAAGAGAATGTATATAGCTGGAATGTCTTGAAAACTGATTTTTTTTTTTTTTTTTGCTCATTATCTAAAATGACAGAGGAAGAGTCTCTTTTCTAGAAAAGGAGTCTAGATCTATTTGCCATTAGTTATAAGGTTTGGGAATATAAAGTGAACCTAATATACTCTGCAGATTTTCTATTGTTTAATGATTCCATTTAGTCAGTGAATTCCATCTTTGATACTTAGTCCTAGCAATCTTCTATTCTTGTCTAAGAAGGTTAAAAACCTATGATTTTTTATTTATAAAAATTTTTTATTACTGAAATAACATTATGAATAAATCAGTCTTTAAGAAACAAAAGAACAAAGTAATAGTAGCTGGTGTCACAGAAATTAAAAAAAAATACAGATACAGATTTCAAATATCTTGACCGTCTTATACTTTCTGTTGTTATTAATCAATTTCTAAATAACTTAAGGTTTTTATGCTTTCAGGATATTATTTGTAATCCATATTTTTTCCTTATAATTTCCAGTTCTCTCTCTAGTTTTATTCTTACTATTGAGTTTTCTACACACCAAATTTCAATGAAACTGCTTATTAACTGTCAACTTATTAATTCTATATTTCCATGACTAGTCTAGCTTCCTTGGAATTTTTTTAAATGTTGCTCTTGATTAAGGGAAAAGCTTGGTGTCATGCACTCACCTCATTTAGTGGTAATTTTGCTCTCAGAATCTGAAACTGGAATACTGATACCCACTATATGCTCTGTATATAGCATTATTATATGCCTCACAGTGAAAGCATTGCTCTCCCACTAGTGGCTTAGGACTTTTGCAGCTTTATAAGGCCTAAGAGCCCAGGTAAAGAAGTGACTTCTATTCAATGATATTTGAAAACAGAGATTTGCTCTTATGATTATGTATACCTCTAATATCTAACAAAAACATGTGAATAAAAGTATTAATTTATATTTAATTTTAGCAGTTTTCAGAGAACTGAAGTGATAAGGTATATTTTTAACATGCTTCTGGGATATCCATACATTTCTCTAGCTATCAGAAGTAAAACTATTACAGTTTTCCTCTTACACAATTTAATTATAGTGGAACTACAATATACTGTATGTTTTTGAATAGTATGTGTATGGTTGTGTGTATATGTTGTGTGTGTGAGAGTAAGGGTGACAGTGAGTGAGCGAGCGAGGGAAAGAGAAATACATTGCTTTTAAGAAAGAAAATTTGTTTTACATTTAAATCTGTAAGTACTGAATTAAGTATGTTGATTCAAATAGTGATTGCACATAATTAACAAACTTTATTTCAAAGCTGTTTCACACTTTCCGTACATTATTTTACTCCCCAACATGTTCACAACAGATAGTATGATTCAACTTTTATATGTGGGCAAGGGAAGTACTCAAGGAAGTTCATTTACCTAACTTTATAGGAAATAAATGTTGTAGTTGTAGTTTCTTCACTTTCACTGCTATGTAATATTTCACAGTGTGGATATACTTAAACATTGTCTAGAAGCATGGAAATTTCAATTATTTCAAGTTTTTATTATTATGAATATTCTTTTACTAAACATTTTCTGACAATTCCTGTGCAAGGTTTTTTTTTTTCATATGTTCTGTCTTGTCTTTATCACAAATCACCCAAGGAATAGAAGTATTGGGCATAGGGCATATACAATTTCAAATTATATGACAATTTAAAATTATTTTTTGATATCATTTTTAATAGGTTTAAAGATTTTTCTTTGATTTCTGCCATCCTTTATTTTTGTCAATGGACTAGTGGTAAAATATTGGTCTTTATTTGCATTTGGTCTTATTTGCTTTTGGTCTTTATTTGCATTTTCCAGGTTTCTAGTGAGCTTTGAAATTTTCTAGATTTACTAACCATCTGTTTGATTTCCTGTGAAATGCATTGACCTATTGGGTGATTTTGTTTTCTTATTGATTCAAAAATATTTCCCAGATATTTTCAGATTTAATCTTTTAAATAATTCTTTAAGGTGTGTTCTGATGAAGAAAAATACTAGGTTGAGTGTAGTCATATTTACTTGTCAATTCTATGATGAAATTTTATATAAGTCCATCATGTCCCTTTCTTGCCTCTCAACAGTCAGAAGGACTTGAGTGGGTCTTTCCACTTCTGTTTCTTGTCAGCACAATAGAAAAATTAGTGCCAGTTTTGTTTAGCATAAGAGTTTTGCAGATAAATGTGTCAGTGTTTTAGGAGAGTTTTTGTAGATACAATGTTATCTACAGTTTTTGTAGACACAGTGATATTGACAATAATGACATGATTCTAATTTTCCCACAGAGATTTATTCAATCAAAAATAAAATATAATTACTGGATTGGATTATATGAAAAAGGAGCTACCTGGTGGTGGCAGGATAACTCAGAACTTTCTCAGAATTTGTAAGTTTTCATTTTATATCTCCCCTCTCTCTTTTTTAGCAGCTGTTTCATAAGTTATAAGTTACAGAGGACATCCCTAAGGACATCGGGAGCTTTTGCAGTTCCACTTAGTATCACTTCACAGAGAGGCAACCAATGCTCATCTCAGAGCTGCAAATAGATCTGCAGAGCCTTATTTCTCATGGGTTGTTTAATGGAGGGTCCTTTCAAACACAGCACGGCAACATTTTGCTTCTGTGACTTTCTCTTGCATGTGCAATGATACTAGCTGTGTTGACAGTTGTGGTTGAAGAACAGTTAAAAATAAAATGGTGAAAGA